AATTGTTTATATAAGGCAATTAAACCGTAATTCATTTTATCGTAATTTCAATATTGCAAAAATATTCATTCAGACATCTATAAAACACAAAATAATTGAGCAAAGAATATCTTTTTCGATAAATTTCTCCTCTTCTGGCTCTACAATTATATATACATAGAATATTCTAGATCAGTAATCAAAGAGGTTACTTCATTCATTCACTTATCTAGCTAGCATTGAGTATTGTCTCAACTACAGGAATTCGGAACGGACGAGGATGTCAAATCGAGCGAGAACCACCGGGAAGGCGAGAAACACATCAACATCATCAACCAACTGAAACCGATCTGGAAATCTTCGTCACTCAGCCAGCATCAACAACAAAATTCGGCTGGATTTTCAATACAAACGTAAAGTCAGTTCTTCTATATGGATCAGAAACTTGGCGGATGGGTCACAAAGAATATTTCCAACAGCCAGTTGCAGACCTTTATCAACCAACAACTGTCTTCGCTGGCTCTATACTGAAGATCAGATGGTCGGGCGGGGCCGGAAAGAATCACCAACAAGGAGCTATGGGAATAAACAAAGCAAGAACCAATCGCCCAACAAATATGCAGGAGAAAGTGGAGATGGATTGGACACTCGTGCCTGAGGGTGCCGCCGTTGGGTGACAGTGTGGACTAACATGGATGGATTCAGGTGAAAAGTATAGCAGAAGGAATACAGAAGTGGCAAGTGGAGACGTGCAGTTGATGCCCTATGTTCCACTAGGAGTCCAAGGGAACAACAATAATAATAATAAATCAATTACAATATTGGTGTTTTTTTTAATTAATATCGATTTGTTAAGTAAGATTAATGGAATTACACTTCACTAAAGGTGCTTAAATAATAATAATAACGATATAATAGCGAATAGAATACCAACTAAAATTTGGAAAATTCCACAAAATTTCAGGATTATTAAAACCTAGATGGCCAATACTCCCTTCGCCTCATCTATTTGAATACGACCTGGAAAACATTCGAACCTGTCTTTCTGCATGACTAATTCAATGTAGTTTGTTTACTTATCAGTCTTATATCTCCCAATGTAATTTCAAAAAATATATATATCCGTGTATGTAGAGTATTCAGCTGACGAGTTCTACCGAAGTTTGATGAATTCATTAAATCCTGCTTCATTAACCTTTGTTGCTTGTTTATAAATTCCTATCGGGAAATATAAATGTTTCCGAATCATAGTAAGTTTCACTGGCATTTCTATGACCAACTTGGTCGTCGCTTAACACAAACATCGCGTTTGAACTGTTGATATTAGATGATTGGAGACAGTCGATAGAAGAAGCTTCGGATTTAGGTTGCGTGCTGCTACTAGTTAGCAATCGTCAGCTAAGCGTATCTGCAACTTTGAAGGGACCCTACCCCTACTGAGATTCGAACTATCATCACCCAGTGTGATGCATTCATAGACGTTATCACTTGGCTCACAATTGACTGTATTGTATAGTTTGAATGCACCCTAGTAGTGTTCAGTCAAACTAACATCATCTATTTATTCATCATTGTGGTAAATGCTATCATCATCATCTTTACTGCATTGGTAGGAATTTTGTAGTAATTGAAAATAATCGATAAATGTATCTATCGATTTCTGGGTTACATATCTCTCTGCATTCAAATGTTTGCTTTTGTTAATCATATTTGGTAAAGTAGCATTTCAGTTAAAGTTTGATGCAACATTCCCTAAGAAAAAACTTTATAAATTTGGCGATTACATTAATATGGATTTTTGAAAAAATGAGTTTGTATTTGAAGAAAGTCTTTCGTAGGGTAGAATTAACTAGACTATTCACAGAATTTCGTTGATAATCACAGTAAAACAAAGTTCCGAAATCAAACAATTACGGATATAACCAACTTGTTTACGCTTTCAAAGGCAATTTCACTGATGATCTGACGAATTTCTGTTCCAGTTGTTTCTGTTGTACTCAACTGTCTTGCTGTGAACAGTTTCTTATCTGAGTCCAACTCCTAGGGTAAGGGTAAAACAAATAGGCATCTAAGTCAAATGACCTTGAACTAACCAATCCGATTGCTGAGTAGTAGTACACACCAAATGGATACTGTTCATAACCTTCGTTGCAAATTTCAACCAGATTTGGATTTTGACTTCTAAGTGGGAAATGGGTTGTGATAGGAAGGACTAAAACATGCATAAGCGAAGGGATAATGAAATAATGCAAAAGTATTTCTGGGCATTCATATGCAACTACTGTTATATGACAAAGGTCTCTGAGAGTTAGTAAGTCGTTCATATGGTCATTTTTTAGATACTTCCTTCTTGGCATCGAGACTCTCCCTTAGTAAATATAATATTGCGTAACTAGCTACTGAAGCGACTAGTATCTACTACAGGTGCGGAAACGGAGAATACTGGAATGTTAACAGTGTTGTTGGGATATTGTGTCACAAAGGTCAATGGGATTACTTCTATACTCAGAGGAGTTGGTGTCATTGTTCATATTGACGAAATAGTACTTATTAGACGAAAGATGGATCGCGGTTGGAGGAGAGCAAATCATGTTTGGGTGCTGGGGCTGTACGACATAAATCTTCGAAAAGGGTTTGTAGAACGCACCCCAAAATAGAAATGCTGATGTATTCATACCAATTATACAACAACTAGTGCTCCGAGGCACTACCATTCACACAGATGAGTGGAGAGGTTACTCGCAACTATCATCATTAGGCTATATACATCATAAATTCAATCATTCTTCTGAATTAGTGGATCCTATAACTGGAATCCATACAAATTCTATTGAAGGATTCTGGGCCCACCTGAAAAAAACGTATTAGGATGGGAAATGGTTCCCAAAATGATACTGTATATAGCCATTTAGATGAGCTTTTTTATCGATACAGGTTTAATACGTCTACAACCACTCCTATGAGAAAGTGGGACCAGATTGTGTAGCATACTAGACACATATACCCTGTATAATTGATTTTTATTACATATATGTATAATATAAATATACTTTTTATTAGTTAAATGCTACTTTCAACCTGACAGGATCTGATTGGTTGTTTCAAGGTCGTTTGAAGTTGGTGTCTATTCTTTACTGTTACCACCCCTAGTCAAATAATTTTAAACTGAACCTCTCTGTAGGATTAAATTTACTTACAGATTTTAATCGTCACTATCAGTACTAATGATACAGAGTGTAGGCCCCATTATAGTTTAAAATTCAGGCGACTAAACTTTATCTGTTCTTTGAATGTAGAGGAATCAATACAACTACACAAGGAAAGGTGAGGACGTATCGAAACTGTTGTGGTTTAGAACGTAATGGTTAGTGAATCACATTTACACACATACATAAGAAGATGGGATACTAACACTCATCTGGGGTCAATCTCAAGTGATGGGCGTTTCCATTAAAATAATCAATAATCACGAGAAACAAGGTCAGGTTGCATCGATTGGTGGAATCCCATAAACTCTCTCTCTGTCTGTCTAACATGATTAACACTCTGTAAATGTTTGAATGGTTGATTTTTCTCTCAGGTGTGAACCAGACGTGCATCAACTGGCTCAGTCGCATGATTTTTTTAATGTTTACGTTGTCTTGTCAGTCGTTTGTTAAATTCATTATTAAAAAATTGCAAAGATACATGGTGATTACCTAAACTGTAAAACCTACTACTAGTGTGTCTTTTTGAAGTCCTGTCTGAACTATGCATTGTCTTTCATCTGACGTGGATATCACACACATGGAAATGCTGCTTTATTTACTTACAGAATAAGGCAAAATACAGATGAAGGCATCGCTATTTAACTGCCTGTTGTCGGTGTCATGGTGACATTGGTGTACATACATATACGTGGCAGAATGTTTTAAGCTGCAATCAAAATACATCATAGCTTTCTTAATTTACTCCACACTACTCATTAAAGGATAGTTAGTAGGTGGTGAAGAGATACTGGAAGTCTTGTATATATAATAAACACTAAAGTTGTGTGCAAAATTTGTTCAAATAAGAGTCTATTTAGTGGATTCATTTAAGTATGAATGAGTTAATACGTTGTTATTATTCAAGGAAAGATTTGTACATTGATGAAAGGGTTGTTACTTGCTTACACCCCGTGAAAGTTGAAGAAGAAGAAATTTTAATATTACATGAATGCAGAGTCCAGAAGAGACAACTATGTTTAAGGTGGTTTTTGGAGTTGTGTCCTTATGCAATAATGTTACCGCCTCGTCGATTAAGGACCGCCAGGAGGTAATCCGATGTATACACTTTTCGGAGTTAACTTTCACTAACTATACCCCCGCCGCCTCGACAGCGTGGAGAGGAAGCATGGCTGGCTTGCTACTTATTTTCTAAGGGAGACATACATTGCTGTGCTCACATTCGTATTCGGCAGCAGTGTGATTTCATCCTCAGAGTCCCAGCATGATATGGGTGGTTTACATTATGATGGTAATTGTTTTTAGTTTAACCGCCAACCAAAATGAGACTTCTGACATGAAACATTAGTTCCTGTCAGTATAGCTCGTTAACTCTTCGCGACATGCAAGTCTTACCACCACCATGTCAAGGTATCACCTATCTGTTGGGCAGCGTTGTCACTACATAGTTGACTAACTTGTTGACACGGGTGGTGAGTCTTACAACTTCCAAAAATCTAGCGTTCTACTTTAAGTTTAATGAATTCATTCCAATTAGCTCAATTGTGTGTTAGAGTCGGAAGTTGGCCATTCTTTTTCCAGCCATCTTTTACCGAATGTGTCCATTTTTTTATAATGGTAACTTGAACTGATGCACACATGATATTATACAAAGTTCTACGTTAATACCCCAGTCAATCATTTTGTATGAGTGTAATGCTCACTCCCCAGCAGGATACATTTATTCTACTCATCTTGATAAAGGCTGTCTATCTACTTGATTGTATACTGTAGTGCTACTGTTCACTTTCTATCCACATTTTTTTTCCTTTGTAGATTTGTGTACGTGTACCATTGGATAGACGTTCGTTAGTTGTAGTCAGTGGACCAGCACGATATTTATGGCAACATGAAATTAGACGTTCAGATATACCAACTAGACGAATTGCTATGACATTTCGTGAATTAAGCGATATATTTACCCCAGGCTTTGACAATTTAACCAGTGAACAAACTATTGGAAAAGAACTCTTACAAATTGCTTCCACATATAATGGTCGTGTTTGTAATAAACAGAATGTTTAAATTTGTATAAAAAAATATATGTGTAGCTATGCTGATGATAGTAATTGAGAATTTGTGCATATTTTACACATTATCGATTATTATTATTAATATCGTTCCCTTTAGTTCCTAGAGGAACATACGGCTTCAGCCGGGCGTGTCTCCAATGAGTTTGGTTCTCCGCCAACGTTCTCACCTGGCTCCACGTCTGCCCCCACACGCTTTTATCTCCTATTCACATGACCTCCTCCATGTCACCCCAACCTCACACTGACGACCCACTCGCCGCTTCCCGTTCGGGTTTCACTCGAGTGATAGCTTGACGTGTGATGTTGCTTGGTGGTTTGTTTTCTCAGAGTATGGTGAATCCACCTCCATATCTTCCTGTCTATTTGTTGCACAATCAGTTCCTTTCGGGTTCATTCGCACCAAGAGATCCCTGTTGCTGATCTTTTCTGACCGGCCATCTGATCTTGAGTAGAATTGAGCGAAGACAGCTGTTGATGAGTCTTTAGTTTGTTTGAAGTGCCCTTCGTGACACGGCGCCAAGTATCTGATCCATCCGTATAGTAGCACTGACTTCACATTGTAGTTGAAAATCCTGATCTTGTTTTCATGCTGAGTGTGCTACTGATCTCCACACAGACTTGAGAGTAATAAAATCTAGCCTTGCTTTGATATCCTCGGCGATTTCTCATGTAGTTGAGACGATGCTTCCAGGTAGGTAGATAGTGGAGCTTGCTTCTTTCAGATTTCTCCCATTCATGCTGGCTGATTGTTGTCTGTTGCTGTTGACCAGGAATCTTCACCATCACCTCTTTTTTCTGTATATTCACCTATCTTTGATGCTTCTTGTGCCATGGAAGTGGAAATAGATTTTGGGGGCGGGTTGGGGTTAGTATCAACGTTCTAAGCAGTGTATCTCAGGAACACTCTGGCAACGATCCAACCAAAAAAAGTATGCAAACGGAAATGAATATAGATTGAATATAACCTAAGAAGACCATTGAATAAAGCCACGTGCCAGGCGCTAGAGTGGAAAGGGATATATCGGGATGGAAACTAGGGTGACATAGAGATATCATGTGAAGGGGAAATGAAACCATGTAGGCAGTTGAAGAGCCAGCTAAAAGGACTGCAGAGAACAACGTGAAGTGTAAATGTGCTGCTGAAGCCCAATATGCCACTCGGAACCAAAGGGAATAATAATAATAGTAACACAGTGTATGCACTTTTACTGAACTCCCTGTGTTCTAGTGTATCTTTGATCAAACATTATAGGCATTTCAGTTAGCTTCCGAGATGTTTTGAAGCCAACTTTTTGCAGTAGGATTTGCAATTGCTGACTGTAAGCAAATTATTAATTCGATAAATCTGACTAGTGAATTTTGTGCTTTACTTCGCCCAACCTTTGGTAAACAAAGTACGTAAATTATATGAGAAATGAACTAATCGAGTTGACCTGTCTATCGGTTGGTGGAAATAAGGATTTCAATATTGCAGTTAGAAAAAATAATGCCGGAGAAGATGAGGCAGATATTCATTCACCCATATCGTTGATCTAACAGTTGCACCATATTGAGAATTGACAGAAGTGACTTGCTACAGGACGGCGTTTCCTGGAGTTCTAGTAAGAAGTCGTGACTCGTGAGGTCCAACCAGTCAAGCGTGAGATTGAATGTCCCACCGATGACATTGGTTGGTGGTCGCACTAAATCACAAACTGGTAGAAGTTAGAATTCATCGACTGGCCAATGAATCGGATCCCAGTGGCTGAATGATATACGAGCCAACTTGCCTTGTAACCCGAATGTCCTGACAGTGGATGCCTACTGCCGATGATTGCCAGAATATGATGAAACATCTTTCCAGTACTCCCTGGTTTTCAATGGTTCTCTAACTGATATCTACCTGTGGTGAAACTCGTAAAAAGTTAAATTAACAAAATAACTGCGCAAAAAGGATCCTGTTCGGTAATTTCCTCTTCTGGCTGTACACCCTGCGTGGTTAAGTAAAGGATAAACAAAATCTATCCGTAGCGCTATTCTATTTCATCTTGTGGATACAGAACATGAGATTGATGTCAACGAGGCGGCTTTCAAAGTCATTTACCGCATACCAACAAATCTTAACTTCGCCTTAAGAGTTCGTTTATTAAATATTGCTGAGGCTGACCGTTGGGATTCACATTAAGAAGCTTAATTTATGTGTCCGAAAGAAGCTAGCTAGTTCAGACATTGTCCTTACCTTGACCATCTAAGTTCGAATGATCTTCATTTGTTAGGAGAAATTTCCTTAATTTTATTTGATATTCTGTTTGCTACCACATCTTTATTACTGTTATAATTTAAGCATCTTTAGTGAAATGGAATTCCACTGATCTTACTTAATAAATCGATAGTATTTAAAAACACCAATATTGTTAATGGCAACTATTCTAAAATATTCTAAGTAAATAAACATATGTATAATTGTAGAACCAGAAGAGGAGATTATCGAAAAGGATATTCTTTGTTCAGTTATTTTGTTTTTTCTTAAATAAAGGTTAAAGTTTTTAGGTCATTTTGTTTTTCCAACACAGTAGTTGAATGGCTGACAGACTGGCCTCGAAACTTCGATGGCCTATAATGTGTATGTACTACTAAAAAAGAGTCGCAATTGGGGACCAAGTAGTTGTCCACTAAATCCCTGGTTTTCAATTATTCTCTTGGTGTTTAGTCGATTCTTGATGAAATTTTCATCCAAACTGTATTATTTATATGAATATTGCGAGTTAAAAGAATGTTAGCACTGTATGACAGTAGATGGACTGAGGATGTTAATATACCCTTGAGTTATGAATCTAATGGAATGGAATGTGCCTTCTTTAATGTATATTAAATGAGCCGTCTGTGGCTAAAGATTTCAATACATTTTATTAATAGTACAGAGGAAGTACTTTGTGTCAATTGTCAGATCGATCATAGAGCCTTACGACTTAGGCAAATAAGTATTACCGTAATAGCGATAATAAAAAATCACACAAGTTGTCACACCATATAATCAATAATCATGCGTAGACTAAGTGGTGCTCGGGAGGCACAAACACGAGACAGCCAGGCAGGCTTTAGACCAGGAAGAGGGTGTATTGATCATATCTTCACTCTCCGACAGATTCTAGAACATAGGAATTCCTACCGGCATCCAACAATCATTATATTTCTTGACCTAAAGGCGGAATTGGATTCTGTCCACCGAGAGGTTGGCCATAAAGGGAATGACGAGAAAATACATTGCACTGATCAAAACACTCTACTCGAACCCATGCAGTCAGCCAGGTGAGGGCTTACGGCGAGTTGTCATCTGAACTGGTGACGACTAGTGGTGTCCGTCAAGAATGACCATTATACCCATTTCTATTCAACTTCATCATAGATGTACAAATGAACTTAATCCTTAGTGATGTCAGCGACTCAGGGATTGACTTGCTACCAGGGAATAATCTCGTTGACTCGGAATATGCAGACGATATAGTCCTTCTAGGCGAGGACACTGACAAAATGCAGAGTCTTCTAAACACGTTGAGCTGCGATCTACGAATGTTCGGCATGCGATTCGCTCCCATCAAATGCAAAATGATGTTACAGGACTGGACTACACCGACTCCTAGATTAGAAATAGGAAGTGAAGTGGTAGAGCAAATTGACCGCTTCACTTATTTGGGAAGTACCTTCAGCCAGCGCCAACATGTTGATCTCTGACGAAATCTCAGCATGGATACAGAGGGCTAGTTTCGTATATGCCACTTTACGCCGTCTGTGGCGTAGACGTGATATCCGGCTGGCTATCGACCAAAGGGCGGGTGTACTGCTTTTCAGACCGCTCCGTCCTCCTTTATCACTGTGAATGAGACATGGCCATTGAGAGTGGAAAACATGAAAAGATTAGCTGCCTTTGATCATAGGTGCCTGCGCTCTATCTCCCGTGTGAAGTGGTAGAATAAGGTGAGCAATATCGAGGATAGGCGTCGAGTTCTAGGTAAGGAGGGGAAATCAATCGACGAGGTTATGAAGTCACATCGACTGAGATAGTTAGGACATGTGTTACATATGCCTAGTCATCGCCTTCCTCGACAATGGGCAATGTTAGCTGACATAGGGTCAGGCTGGAAAAGAGCTAGCCGCCGTCAAACCAAAACATGGCTTTGCCAGTCAATGAAATCTACAACAGTTAGTCTAAGCCAGCCACGCAGGAAGGTATAGACTTCCTGACTGGTTTGGGTCCTCGGGACGGTAAAAGCCAATGGTTGGAAACAATTGGGGACATGGCTCAAAATCGTTGTCAATGATGGCTGGCGCAGATGCATCCACTCCTTGTGACTTATGATTTCCAATGAAACTGTTTTTCATTACTATTCGTTTGTCTCACACCTCTGTTTACTGTCTCTATTATGCATTTCTTCTCTTGCTTTGTGTGCTAAATGGAGTGTGGCGACTTGAACTGCCGTACATCGGTGCAAAGTTCTATGTCGAAAACAGACAGATACCATTAAAGCAGTTGGCGATTGAAGACATATAAGCGGATTGTGAATGTGTAGACAGGCGAAATTATTACTCTGACCACAATGTAAGATTATAAAGTCAAATTCTACCAAGAGTAAAAATATACAATTATAACTAAGTATGATAATGAAGATACTGTTTAGAGTCATTCGGGATCTTCGATGTTAAAGGTGGAGGACATCGGGTGGAAAGGAATTAGAAAGACTTTTAGGTGATTGGTGTGTTGATTTATATGGACGATACATTAACACTATTATTTATTATTACTAGAAGTCTAGGTCCCACGTGGAACATAGTTCAACATTCTGTTCTGCGGTCTCTGTTAAACCGACTCCATGAGCTTTCATTTCCTCTTCATACAACTTCCGTTTCACCGTCGGATGGTCGACTCCGTTGCATCCCATTCAGGTTCCACCTGGCATGCGTATTGGAGCAGTGAATAATTAGATAGCCAAAATACTTGTGTATATTTACGTATCGGTACTTTTGCGTGCCTTACTATAGATTGCGCAACTACAGCAAAGAGTAACATGACAGTGTGGCGCCAATGGTGTAGATGCTTGATACCATTATGCTCAATAAATTGTGTTCGAAACATTGTCATCCAGTAAATAATGCTGTCCCATTGTGTGTGTGTGATGTATCTAATAAACAAATTAATATATGAAATTACACACCACTGCAGTGACCACGTTTTACACATATATATTAATAATATTGATTGGTTTACTGTCAGTCTGGTTATCACTAGTAAATTAGCATAAATTAAATTACGACAAGACAAGAACACGTCGGAGCAACAAGAAGATTCGGACTTCGCGGACGATTTATGCCTAAAGCTATACAAGCTCAAAGATCTACATATGACAACCGGCAATTCAGGCAAAAGAAGCATTAGTGACTAGACTTTCAGTGAACATAAAGAGAGAAGACAGAAGTGATGAAGATATCTAATCATCAACAACAACAAGCATCCGTCACCATCAATGACAGAAATCTGAAGGACGTTACTTCTTTCTCTCTTTACTCCCCTCTCTTAATGAACGAAATATTCACATATTGAGTCATAAGAAAAAGGCACAAACAGCGAAGAGAATTTTCTTTTCGACGATTCATTTTCATGATCTGTACAATCATAATTATAATTAACACAGAAATCTTTAGACCAATCAGATGCTGGTAAACTTTGTACTTGAAAATTCTACTACATAATGTGAGGTGTAAGAAGAGATGACTAATTGTAAAAAAGAAAGGAGACAGAAATTGGCATGTCCTAATAAGTGTGAGATAATGACTAATCAATAAGCTCGTATAGAATGGACAGGAACTAGTGGAAAGGCTATAAAGTGTTTTTGTATAAAATCTGTATGAAAAAGCCATGTTATTAATAAACAGTAAGAGAGTGGTAATAAAATGTGGATGACGGGAATAATAATGATAAGAAAAGTATTTAGAACAATAATAATAATAGTGAACTTACATATTAAAAGGAAGAAGCAAAATTATAGTAAGAACTTCACTCTGGCCATGGTAGGGCAGGAGAATGTATGTATCTCTTTTGTATGCACAGGTCCGATTTCAGATCTCGAATAGCTAATGCTTCAGCTATAGACAGATGGCGTATCCAAAGTCCCTTTGTGCGATATTGAGGGACTCTGTGTGACACTGCGAAGCATTCATGTGGGGGCGCTCGATTTCCGGAGATGACAAGGTGTTCGAGGATCGAGCTGTTGCTATTCTTCTTTTCTCCTCTGGCTAACCAAGCTGGGCAGTGTTCCAGAATACGCTTGTGCACTTAACGTTGCGTACGGTCGATATACCTTGCTCCACACGAGCAAGTAAATTGATAAATACACATTGAAGTGGTCAAAAGCGGTATCTTGTCTTTAGCGTTAGACTGGATTAACTGTCTATAGGGAAATGTGATACGTAGAATGGCTGTTGGAAATGCCTTCTTCAGACTTTTAGAAAAGCGGTTCTTGAGAATTTCCTCTGCGATATTACCTTTGAATTCTAGGTTCATGAAGAGAGTCATCTTAGTAACCGTTGTGATGTTTGACACCAGAGGCTTCTCCTCCATGTTTTTGTCGATAAATCTTGGTGGATACCCATTCTCTAGTAGGGTTTCACGTAATAAATTTAATTCTCTACCACGTCTTCCGAGTAGACTTTTCTAATCCTTGAACACAATGCACGTATCAAGTTCCGCTTTCGGATCAGTGGAACAAAGCTCTGGAAGTTGATAAACCGTCCAGTCCATGTTGGCTTACGGTATATCGATCTTTGGATCGTACAGTCGTGTCTTCTGGTCAATAGTACATCAAGGAATGGAAATGAGTTGTTCGATTCGCGTTCTAAGGTGAATCTTTTTGATGGATGCACTGTGTTGAAGGTTATGAGGAGAGAATCTAAATCGCATTTTTCATCAGATTATATACATATATCTTGTATAAGTCCAGTGGTGTCCGACAGGGATGTCCACTTTCCCCATTCCTGTTTAACTTCATCATAGATATGCTGATGGAAGTATCCTTAACTGAACGTAACGACTTAGGAATCGACTTGTTACCAGGGAATAGTCTTATCGACTTAGAATATGCACATGACATAGTCCTGTTAGGAGAGGATGCTGACAAATGCAGAGTCTTCTGAACACCTTGAGCAGCAATCTACGTATGTTTGGCATGCGATTCGCCCCTGTTGTAAAATGTAAGATGCTGCTACAGGACTGGACTACGTCAACTCCGAACTTAGTGATAGGGAGTGAAGTGATATAACATGTTGACCACTTCACCTATTTGGGAAGTTGTGTCAGCACCAGCGGACTGATGGGCGGCGAAATATCAGCACGAATCCCAAAAGCTAGAGCTGCTTTCGCTGACTTATACCATCTCTGGCGTAGGCGTGACATCCATCCGGGTATCAACCAAGGGACGTGTGTACTGCTCACCAGTTCCATCCGTCCTTCTCTATGGCTCTGAAACATAGCCAATACGAGTTGGCTTTTTTATTCATAGATACCTGCGATCTCTTTCTCACGTTAGCCTGTAGTTTAATAAGGTAAGTAGTGTTGACGTTAGGCGTAGAGTGTTGGGCAAATAGGGAAAATCAATTGACGAGGCTATAAAGTTACATAGATTGAGATGGCTAGGTCACGTGCTGCTCATGTCTGTCTGTCTGTTTTCGACATAGAACTTTGCACAAATGTGCGGAAGTTCAAGTCGCCACACTCCGTGTAGCACGCGAAGCAAGAGAAGAAAGTACAAGAAAAGCATAATAGAAACAGTGAGCAGAGGTGTGAGACAAAGGAGTAATAACGAAGAACAAAACAGTTTCATTGGAAATCATAAGTCACAAGGAGTGGATGCATCTGCGCCACTGAGAACGATTTTGAGCCATGTCACCAATTGTTTCCAACCATAGATTTTTACCGTCCCGAGGACCCCAGCCTGGAAGTCTACACCTTCCTACGTGGCTTAGACCAACTGTTGTGGATTTCATTGACTGGTGCCAAGTTTTTGTTTGACCGCCGCTAGCTTTTTTCCAGCCTGACCCTATATCCGCTAACATTGCTCGTCGAGGGAGGCGATGACTTGGCATACGTAACACATGTCCTAACCATCTCAGTCTTTGTAGCTTCACGACTTCGTCGATTGATTTCCCCTGTTTACCTAGAACTCTACGCCTAACCTCCATGTTGCTCACCTTATTATGCCACTTTACACGGGAAATAGAACGCAGGCACCTATGATCAAAGACAGCTAGTCTTTTCATGTCTTCCACTCTCAGTGGCCAGGTCTCACAACCATAAAGGAGGACGGAGCGGACTGATGAGCAGTACACCCGCCCTTTGGTCGATAGTCGAACATCTCGTCTACGCCAGAGTCGGCGTAAACTGGCAAATGCGAAACGAGCCCCTGTATTCGTGCTGAGATTTCGTCAGAGATCAACCCGTTGGTGGCTGATGGTACTTCCCAAATAAGTGAAGCGGTCAACGTGCTCTACCACTTCACTTCCTATTTTTAAACTAGGCGTCGATGTAGTCCAGTCCTGTAACATCATCTTGCATTTGGCGGGAGCGAATCGCATGCCAAACATTCGTAGATTGCGGCTCAAGGTGTTTAGAAGACTCTGCATTTCGTCAGCGTCTTCGCCTAGAAGGACTATATCGTCTGCATATTCCAAGTCAACGAGATTATTCCCTGGTAGCAAGTCAATCCCTGAGTCGCTGAAGTCACCTAGGGTTAAGTCCATTAACACATCTATGATGAAGTTGAATAGAAAAGGAGATAATGGGCATCCTTGACGGACACCACTGGTCGTCATCAGTTCAGATGACAGCTCGCCGTAAGCCCTCACCTGGCTGTATGAGTACGAGTAGAGTGCCTTAATCAGTGCAATATATTTTCTCGGAATTCCCTTTACAGCCAAGCATCTCCAGAGAACTTCCCGATCGACAGAGTCGAATGCTGCCTTTAGGTCAAGAAATATAATGACTGTTGGACGCCGGTAGGAATGCCTATGTTCTAGAATCTGTCGGAGGGTGAAGATATGATCAATACACCCTCTTCCTGGTCTAAAGCCTGCCTGGCTCTCTCGTGTTTGTGCTTCCCGAGCACCACTCAGTCTACGCATGATTATTGAGCCTAAGACTTTAGATACTATATTAGTCAAGCTAATCCCTCTGTGATTATCACAGGAAGACTTGTCTCCCTTCTTGTATATGGGGATAATCAGTGACTTACACCAACCCGATGGGACTTCTTCTGATTCCCAGACGCTGCCTAGTACCTCAGTTAATCCAGACAGTAAGCTGTCTCCACCGTACTTAAATACCTCTGGAGTCATTCCATCAGGTCCCGCTGCTTTGCCTAGTTTCAGATTGGTGACAGCTTTAGTAACCTCAGTTAGGGATGGAGGACCTGTGTCTATATCCCATTCAGGGAGGTGTTGGATGCTCGGAAGGTTGAGCGTGGCTGTGGGCAAATTAAACTGCTCCTCATAATGCTCTTTCCAACGATCCAGTCGTCTATCCTGGGAGCTAATTATAGTGCCATTTTTTTCCGAGATTGTCTCACTAATGATTTGTCTTCTCCCACCCGTTTCCCTGATGAGTCCAAAGAGTTGCCTGGTGTTGCCTATCCTCGAAGCTTTCTCCATCTCTTTGGCTTTTGTCGCCCACCACTGTTCACGGTCCTTGCGGAGACTTTTCGTAAGTTTCCTCTTGTGCAGCTTTCGCTCCTCATTGAATTCGGAGCTCGCCGGAATAAGTCTTCTAGCATCTATCAGTTCGGATGAGGCGGTGGAGATCCAGTGGTTTTTACTCACCTTTGGGTTTACCTTATTCACAGCTTTTACAGCTGTATCTATGGCTGCCTGGATATTTTTCCAAGCTTCTTCAGGGTGAGCACAGCTGTCGAACACAGATATGTGTTTAGCTAGTTCTTCCTGAAATACGGATTTAGTTTCCTGATCGAGCTGGGGACGTGATGGTTTTACCGCCAGCTGTTTCCTACGTCCGTTCAGTCGTAAGCACACCCGAGCGCGGACCAGTGCATGGTCGGTATCTACGCACGTGTTCCAGAAGGAGCGACAATCTCCTACCGACCCACGCCAACGATAGCTTATTGCTATGTGGTCTATTTGTGTCCAGCGTTGGTTTGATGAAGGGGGTCTCCAAGTCAAACAGTGTCTCTCCTTGTGTTTGAAGTTAGTGCTTACAAGAAACAAATGATTATCAGAGCAGAACTGTAGGAGACGGTCACCGTTGTCGGTTCGCTGGCACGGAAGTCCATAGGTGCCACCGACATCCTTCTCAGATTGACACAATTTCCCTACTTGAGCGTTAAAGTCACCAGCTAGAACGACTATGTCTGAGCGTTTAGCCTTTCTCACCAAACTAGACAGCTTTTGGTAGAACTCATCCTTCGTTTCATCTGAACTGCAGTCAGTGGGGGCGTAGGCGGAGATTACGAAAAGGCATCGGCGAGTAGTGCAGTCCTTTCTCCTTCTTACTGATCCGTTCAGGCGGACAGCACACATTCGGCTATCTACCGGGATCCAGTCAAGCAATGTCTTTTCTGCCCTAGTACTCAAAGCTATCCCTACGCCAGCTGCTACCTTGACGTGGTGGTCGGGCTTGAACACCGCAATGACCTAATCAAGCTATACTGGCTGAGACTTATGTCTCTTGAGGTTCTACCATGCCAGGCAGGTTGTTTGGATAGCGGTTAAACAAAAAGCAGCTACCTCATCCAATACCATGATCCAAACAAATTCACAAAATTTCATGCCGGATCGGCCGTGGCCCGGATTAACAACGACCGCGCTTCCTGCTGCCGTGTCACAGGGCGGGAGTGATAAGTATGCTACTGAGGCACACAAAACAACGAAGAACGAACAAAAACAGGCCGCGTGTGACCGGCCACAAGCAGTTGTCCCCTGGGCTCTGCGGTCACGCAACCAACTTCCACGGTGTGGGCAGCCGGGAAGTAACAATCGCCCTCACAATCCAAAACGCACACAAAACCTCTCTAATCCTCACTTATCTTTGTCTTCATCTTCATCTCTATTACCTTACTTTCCCCCAGTGATGCAACTCCTCTACTTGATGGCTCCTCACTCCCTCTTCACTCTGTGTCCACTAAAAACGACGAAAGCCAAAAAACCACCACGGATAGTCTCCTAAAGCCACGCCACCAATTTCATATAGGAGCATTTAATGTAAGGACACTTTGCCAAATAGGACAACAAGCATCACTAGCTAAGACCCTGGCATCTCGAGCCATTGATGTATGTTGTGTTTCAGAAACACGCATACAAGACCCAAGTGTGGTTATTCACCTAACCCCACCTGGCCAACAGGATGAATCTTCAAAATTCACCTTGAGGGTGTCAGGAGATGCCACAGCTAGTTCACGGGGATTAGCTGGCGTAGGGATAGCTCTGAGTACTAGGGCAGAAAAGACATTGCTTGACTGGATCCCAGTAGATAGCCGAATGTGTGCTGTCCGTCTGAACGGATCAGTAAGAAGGAGAAAGGACTGCACTACTCGCCGATGCCTTTTCGTAATCTCCGCCTACGCCCCCACTGACTGCAGTTCGGATGAAACGAAGGATGAGTTCTACCAAAAGCTGTCTAGTTTGGTGAGAAAGGCTAAACGCTCAGATATAGTCGTTCTAGCTGGTGACTTCAACGCTCAAGTAGGGAAATTGTGTCAATCTGAGAAGGATGTCGGTGGCACCTATGGAGTTCCGTGCCAGCGAACCGACAACGGTGACCGTCTCCTACAGTTCTGTTCAGATAATCATTTGTTTCTTGTAAGCACTAACTTTAAACACAAGGAGAGACACTGTTTAACCTGGCGACCCCCATCATCAAACCAACGCTGGACACAAATAGACCACATAGCAATAAGCTATCGTTGGCGTGGGTCGGTAGGAGATTGTCGCTCCTTCTGGAACACGTGTGTAGATACCGATCACGCACTGGTCCGGGCTCGTGTGTGCTTACGACTGAACGGACGTAGGAAACAGCTGGCGGTAAAACCATCACGCCCCCAGCTCGATCAGGAAACTAAATCCCTATTTGAGGAAGAACTAGCTAAACGCATATCTGAATCCGACAGCTGTGCTCACCCTGGAGAAGCCTGGAAGAATATTCAGTCAGCTATAGATACAGCTGTAAAAGCTGTGAATAAGACAAATCCAAAGGTGAGTAAAAACCACTGGATTTCGACTGCCTCATCCGAACTGATAGATGCTAGAAGACTTATTCCGGCGAGCTCCGAATTCAATGAGGAGCGAAAGCTGCACAAAAGGAAACTTACTAAAAGTCTCCGCAAGGACCGTGAACAGTGGTGGGTGACAAAGGCGAAAGAGATGGAAAAAGCATTGGCGATAGGCAACACTAGGCAACTCTTTAGACTCATCACAGAATCGGGCGGGAAAAGGCAATTCATAAGTGAGACTATTTCTGAGAAAAATGGCTCCTTAATTAGCTCTCAGGATAGACGCCTTGAACGCTGGAAAGAACACTTTGAGGAACAATTTAACTTGCCTACAGCCACACTGAACCTCCCCGCCATCCACCACGTACCCGAATGGGATATAGACACTGGTCCGCCGTCTGTAGGTGAGGTTACAAAAGCTATCAGTAATTTGAAACGAGGCAAAGCGGCAGGACCCGACGGAATTATTCCGGAGGTGTTTAAATATGGGGGTGACATACTAGTTTGTAGATTAACTGAGGTACTAGGCAAAGTCTGGGAATCAGAGACAGTACCATCAGACTGGGGTAAGTCACTTATTATACCGATATTCAAGAAGGGAAACAAGTCCTCGTGTGATAATCATAGGGGGATCAGCCTAACGAACATAGTCTCTAAAATCCTAGGCTCAGTAATCATGCATAGACTAAGCAGAACTCGGGAGGAACAGACAAGGGAAAATCAAGCAGGCTTTAGACCAGGTAGAGGGTGCATAGATCATATCTTCACTCTTCGACAGATTCTAGAACATAGACACACTTTTCGGCGTCCAACAATTGTCATATTTCTTGACTTGAAGGCGGCCTTCGACTCCGTGGATCGAAAGGTACTATGGCAATGTCTGACTGTGAAGGGAGTGCCAAGAAAGTACATTGCACTAATCAAGGCACTCTATTCAAACTCACGTAGTCGTGTAAGGGCTTATGGGGAATTGTCATCTGAATTGGTAACAACCAGTGGTGTCCGACAGGGATGTCCACTTTCCCCATTTCTGTTTAACTTCATCATAGATATGCTAATGGAAGTATCCTTAACTGAACGTAGTGACTTAGGAATCGACTTGTTACCAGGGAATAATCTAATGGACTTAGAATATGCAGATGACATAGTCCTGTTAGGGGAGGATGCTGACAAAATGCAGAGTCTTCTGAACACCTTGAGCAGCAATCTTCGTATGTTTGGCATGCGATTCGCCCCTGCAAAATGTAAGATGCTGCTACAGGACTGGACGACGTCAACCCCTAACTTAGTGATAGGGAGTGAAGTGATAGAACATGTTGACCACTTCACCTACTTGGGAAGTTGTATTAGCACCAACGGACTGATTGGCGATGAAATCTCAGCACGGATCCGAAAAGCTCGAGCTGCTTTCGCTGACTTACACCATCTCTGGCGTAGGCGTGACATCCGGTTATCAACCAAGGGACGTGTGTACTGCTCATCAGTTCGCTCCGTCCTTCTCTATGGCTCTGAAACATGGCCAATACGCGTTGAAGACATGAAAAGGTTGACTGCTTTCGATCATAGATGTCTGCGATCTCTGTCTCACGTTAGGTGGTTTCACAAGGTAAGTAATGTTGACGTTAGGCGTAGAGTGTTGGGCAAAGAGGGAAAATCAATCGACGAGGTTATAAAGTTACATAGACTAAGATGGCTAGGTCACGTGGTGCGCATGCCTAACCACCGCCTCCCCCGACGGGCATTGTTAGCTGATATAGGTTCAGGTTGGAAAAGAGCCAGTGGTGGCCAAACAAAAACATGGCATCAATCCATGAAATCCTTGACAGTTAAACTGAGTCAGGTAGGGAGATGCAGACTCCCGGGTTGGGGCCCTCGGGACTCTAGGAATCAATGGCTGGAGACAATAGGTGACATGGCTCAAAATCGTTGTCAATGGCGCAGATGTATTCAATCTCTGTAATCTTTCATATTCCTTTCTACCATTACCCATTCTGTTTCACTCTTATATTTGTCAAACTCTATTAATTCTCTTCACTCATCTTCTTGTCTACCTCTGTGTGCTATTTGGAACGTGGCAACTCGAACTGCTGCACTTCGGTGCCAAGTTCTATGTTGAATCCAGACAGACAGACGCCAGCTAATCCTCGTGAACTAGCTGTGGCATCTCCTGACACCCTCAAGGTGAATTTTGCAGATTCAACCTGTTGGCCAGGTGGGGTTAGGTGAATAACCACACTTGGGTCTTGTATGCGTGCTGCACATGCCTAACCATCGCCTCCCCCGACGGGAATTACTAGCTGATATAGGTGGTGCAGGTTGGAAAAGAGCCAGTGGTGGCCAAACAAAAACATGGCCTCATCAATCCATGAAATCCTTGACAGTTAAACTGAGTCAGGTAGAGAGATGCAGACTCCCGGGTTGGGGCCCTCGGGACTCTAGGAATCAATGGCTGGAGACAATAGGTGACATGGCTCAAAATCGTTGTCAATGGCCAGCACAGATGTATTCAGTCTCTGTAATCTTTCATATTCCTCTCTTCCATTACCCATTATTCTGTTTCGCTCTTATACCTGTCAAACTCTATTGATTCTCTTCACTCATCTTATTGTCTACCTTTGTGTGCTATTTGGAACGTGGCAACTGGAACTGCTGCACTTGGGTGCCAAGTTCTATGTTGAATCCAGACAGACAGACTTGTATAAGTGCAGTTGACTTATCAAGGATGTTGTTTTCGAGACTTGCCTCTCTTACTTTGTGTGGTGCATGGAAGGAGATTGGCAACACGAACTGGTGCAAATCTTTGCAAATTTCTACGTTGAAAAACCAATCAGTCATGGATAAAGGAAAAGAAAATGGGGATCAAGTTTATGATCAGAGAACAACTGAATTAGCTGCACTTATAATTCCACACTCATTACCGCCTTTTCATGGAATGACAAAGTGTCCTACATGTGGTGTAAAATGAACTATTTTAGACTGTTTCAACGATTAATGTACAACAGTATGAACATTATTGAACTAACATAGTTTACCCTACCGCATAACTCACACAGACACACACAATAATGACATTATCCCACTGTGGTTAATAACACAACGTAAAACTACGTCCTCAACCAATTCTCTCATTATACGACTCGTTTCAAAAACTGAAATGGAAAGCAAACTCATGTAAACGTTATACAAAAGATATTTAAATGAATACATATCAGATAAAAATTATTGAACAATGAACAATACAATTTTTTAAAAAAAAGAGAACGGTGTGTTTTACACAGACAGATGTTTGTTTAATTTCATTTTTGCTGAACACTAAAGTAAAATACAAAATATCTTTTGTGTGTAGTCAGTTCATGCAAGAATGGAGGTGAATGAATTGAGGCGAATAGTTCAAGTAATGCGGATATTTACATTTACATTATATATATATATATATATATATATATATATATATCTTTAAATCAACAATGTACACATAGAAAAAGCCCTAAGTCCAGAAGTCATTAAAAATATTTGACGAATTACAGGCGTCAAGGTTCTAATCTTCTCGGAATCACTTTTAAACCATTGAATTAGATTGGCTAAGTCTGCGAACAAACTGAAAAAAGTGAAAAAAAAAACAAAAACTGGTTTCACATGTATGAGAAATGAGAATACAACTTGAGATTAATTATCAAATAAACAATTAGAGATTTGTGATCTCTGAATTCAACCAGTGAACAAGCATACAAATAAAAATTATTTAAACAAATATGTAACTTAAAAAACAATTAGTCCCTTAGATAAATTTGAATAATAAGGCATTAAGAAGACAAATTTCGTCGCGAGATGATTTTTACCACCGTTTTACAACTACTAAAATGGTTAACAATAATAAACTAAAATAACGTTCATGACAATTACTCAGTTAAATAAAATACAAAAGAACATACTAATGACCAATCATATTTAGATAGGTCATGCAGTCCAGGGTAGGCGAAGATTGAAGTCTATAGATTTTTGTACACACAGTTTAGGCTGTATGTGTCTAATCCCCAAAGTGCTTCCATCACCTTCAATAACCTTGAATTAGAGTTATGTGATGAAATAATTGTGAAACAGTCATTATTTATATTGATTTTATGACCTGGCATTAATATAAGTGTTTTGCAATGGATGATGCTGGATTTCCACTAAGATTAATCGCGTTAGGATTTTCGATATGATCAAACGCACATTCTACGCCACCGAATCTCTTTTTCTCACTTGCCTAACACTTTCGATACCTGTACCTTTTTCTTATTCCTTTTACGTTCCCAGTGGAACATAGGGCTTCAAGCTAGTGGCTTGAAGTTTCTTTAGCAGTGTTTATTTTTACAGAATGCGGTTGCTAGTCTCATGCCCACCCTTTCCTCTTTACCACCTTTATTTGTGGCTTAGCAAGGTAAGGGAGTGCGTCGGCCGGGGCTCGAACCCCAAACCATGTGTATGGTCGGCGAGCGTCCTAACCTACCTCCGATTAAAAGACGAAATTCTGTGGACTCTACTTCAAACTGTATCTACAAGTTCACCTGCAGCTGCGGTGACAATTATATAGGTAGAACCAACAGAATGTTCCAATGTGGTCATCGAAAAGAACATGTTCCAAAATGGCTACTAAATCATATAGAAAATCCCAATGCGATTAATTTTAATAGAAATCCAGCATCATCCATTGCAATACACTTATTAATGTGTCAGGTCACAAAATCAAAATTATTAATGACTGTTTCACAATTATTTCATCACATAACTCTAATTCAAAGTTGACTATTAAAGGTGATGGAAACACTTTGAGGATTAATCACATAAAGCCTAAACTGTGTGTCCAAATCATCTCGCGAAATTTGTCTCCTTAATGCCTTATTCAAATATGTAACTGTATGCAGCTGCATACACAAATTGAGAGACACATATAGACCTAAATGGTGTGAGTACCTGGCTTTCAGCTAGCTAGCTGGTCACGGCTTTGATTCCCACCCACTCTCCACCTACAACAGTCTGGATAACCACTACTAAATGGTATTTATTGCCTGTTTCACTGACAAGATTTTTAAGTAGCATATAAAGGCAGCTATTAAATAGGAATAGCAGCTGCAAGAATATCGTATAGCGGAGAGATGGATTTAACTAGCGATACTTGCGGAGCAACATAGAGAATATAAACAGAAGACAATGAAGAATATAAATATGTGTAAAACTTAGGCGCTGTGTTACTACGTGATTCCATATTAGTTTGTTTGTTAGATGTATCACACAGTGATGAAACAGTATTGTTTACTGGATGACAACGTTTCGAACAAAATTTATTGTTCATAATCATATCACCAATTATAATCACACGACTTCGACACTTGAGTTTATTGGTTTCCTTTGTCTTCTCCTATTTGTCGTCGTAGACGTAGTAGAATTTTCCAGATATCCGACTGGACAGGTGTTGAATCATTCCTATTACATGTATTTGCAGTTGATTCGATAAACAAACCCTCCGTTATTAATCTCTCTCTCCACCCTGTGACAGTAGATTTTAAAACTGTCATCCTATCCCATCCATCCTATTGTATGGTTGTGTGTAGTTGCATGTAGTGAGTGGTATAGCTGAACTATTCTCTAGATTTCTCGTCTCATTCGGGTCAACTAATCTCGATTTCGCCAGGTTTCTATGCTCCGCTAGTCTGACTGCCCCTGTTCTACTAGTTTCACCTATGTATTTGACCTTACAATCATTGCAGGCAGGGTATTAGATAAACTAAATTGTTTTGTTTTAAAGACTCTACAGGATTGATCCTTTAACCGACAAAGCTTGTTTCTAATTGAGTTCGTGGATCGTTTGAATGCCAGTCACTTTTACTCCTGCCTTGTTAAGAATTCTGCATAAAGTTTCCAAGGTTCCTTCCTTGTATGGAATTACTACTGATGATTTGGATTCCTTATTGTTGGTGTTGTCATTATCTTGTAAATGTTCGACATGCATATCATTATTATTATTATTAACACTATCATTATTTATTTTATTCACACCTTTCTCTGCATACTTTCTGACTAATTTATCCGCGTAATTATTAAGTTTCAAGGCTTCTTTTATGTGTATCACTTCCCGTCTAAGATTTTCCTTGCTACTATTTAGATTTTGTGCTCTACCACTTCAACATTTCACCAATCCTTCCTATTTTAACTGGTATAGGATGCGATGATCGGAAGTCCAAATATGTTTGAATATGTGGTTTTCCTGTAAACACAAGTGTTTAACGTCTCATCTTCTTTCCTTTTTACGTTGCAATCTAACACTGAAAGATCCCCTTCGTGGCTTTCCAATTCATAAGTGAATTGCATTACCTTCTTACTTTAATTTACTTCGGCTATCTACGGCAGGATGAGCCGGCTTCATGAACGTCTCGAATCATCGCTGCCCAGACGCGGCGATCTGATGCAAGGTTTTGCGACAGGGTTATCCAACTCTTGTTCCACAGACGGAGTCCGTAGACGGTTTGTAGCCCCAGGCACTCCATATCAGCCTTGACTGTACCAAGCCATGTCTTCAGCTGTCCACCCCTGCGACATCGCCAAGATGGAAATGGCGAGGGATTTAGAACTGATTTGACCAGATCGTCATCTGGTCGGCGCAGAACATGGCCAAACCACCGAAGGCGATGTTGTTGGACCAGTACTGGAATTTGGTTGATGTTGTAGCAACGACGACGCACTTCTTCGTTGGAGAGTTTGTCCTGCCAACGAACATGCAGAATGTACCTGAGGCACCAATGGTCTACTACCTCGAGTCTGCGTAAATCTTCCGCGCGAAGAGGCCAGGTTTCACAGCCATACAGGAGAACGGGTCGTATGGAGGCTTGGTAGACCCGAATTTTAGTCCTGAGACTGATTTCTCTCTTGCTCCATAGAACGCTCCTCAGCTGTAGAAACGCATTCCGGGCGTTGGAGATTCGCGCATTCACTTCGTTTTTCGCTTGGCCGTTGGGGAGCATTATGGATCCCAGATATCTGAAGGATGGCACAATTTCAATAGGTGCTCCATTCAGGGATAAGATTTCATCATTGCCGGTGGATGTGTTCGAAAACATTTTGGTTTTGGAAGTGTTAATTTCCAAACCGATAGTAGACGCGAGGTGGTTTATCTGATCGAGCGCCTGTTGCATATCGGGGAAGTTTTCAGCTAATAACACGACGTCGTCGGCGAATTCGAGGTCGGTTATGTGAATATCGGGCGAAAGTTGGACGCCGTGGTGCTCGGTTAGGGCGTGCCGCAAAATCCAATCAATTGTGAAATTGAACAGGATGGGGGATGCTGGACAACCTTGCCGGACACCGCTGGTTACCTCAAAAGTGCGAGACTCTTCACCGTTCACTCGGACTCGAGCTTTGGTGTTGGAGTAGTATGACCTGAGCAGGTTGATTAGCTTGGTCGGAACTCCGTCGAGCTCCATTAGATACCAGAGTGCTCCTCGATCAACTGAGTCGAATGCCGCTCGGAAGTCGATGAAGCAAGCAACCGTCGGCTGTTGGAATTTGTCCCTGTGTTCCAAAATTCTTCGCAGTGTGAATAATTGATCAACACAGCCTCTTCCAGGTCGAAATCCGGCTTGATTTGGCCTTGTTCGCACGTGGCGTTCGGCCGCGAAGCGGTTCAGGAGAATGGAAACAAAAACCTTAGCAGCGATATCAATCAGACTTATGCCTCGGTAGTTCTCGCATAGTGACCTGTCTCCCTTTTTGTGGAACGGTAGCAGAACTGAGGTGCTCCAATCGGAAGGAATGGTTTCGGACTCCCAAATTGAGCAGAACAGCGAGTGCAGCGAATCGATTAGCGCTGGAGTGCAGGCCTTGTATATTTCTGGAGGTAGACCATCTTCGCCCGGAGCTTTTTTGTTTCTGAGTCTGTTAATTGTTTTAGCTATTTCGGTTGGAGTGGGTGGATCGCAGTCAACTACGTAGGGTGTTGGTAAGTGTCGTATCGGTCGATGAGACGGTTGACCAGCGTTGCGATTGAGTAGCTGCTTGAAATGTTCGGCCCATCGTTCCATCTTACCATTGGTGTCCGAAATAATTTCTCCTGATGCTGTGCGTAACACAGCATGACTGTTAAGGCGTTTGCCAGATGATAGGCGTATGAGGCGATAAAGTTTTCCGAAATCGCCTACATTTGATGCTGCTTCCATGTTAGTCGCCACATTAGACCAATAGCGATTTCTGTCATTCCTAGCAGACTGTGTAGCTTTGCGCCTGAGGGAGCGATAAACTGGAGACTTTGCTAGGCGAGCGTCTCTGGCTTGCGAGGATAGATGCATGGTGTGCTCTGAAATCCAGTCTTTCTGCTTGTTGGATGTGGTACCCAAATGCGACATTGAAGCTTTAGAGACTACTTCTTTGAAATGATTCCATCGTGTCTCAGGTGTATTAGAAGATGTGGATGTTGGTTCATCTGCGGCGCTTAGTTCGGCCTGGATTTGTTTGGACAAGGCTTGTCGCTTTGTCGAACATTGAAGCGGGAAAACATTGATACGCTTCGGAGGTCGCGCCTTCTGGCGTGTTGTTAAACGAAGTTTGAATTTCGCCCGAACTAGA